CAAGTAAGAATGTTGTTATCTCTTCAAAACTGTTCCATTCACATGTTTGAATAATCCTTTGTTATTAGTCTGTCTACAAAACCAAAGTAAAAAATGCTCTATTCCACTCTGTGATGTCATGAAGTGGTAGTTCTAAAGTTACCAGCTACCTTTTACCTTTAAGACAGTGCAGCATGGGAATCTCAGGGGTGTAATTGTTCTAAGAATGGAACGGAATGTAAAGTTTTAGTTTTTCAATTTAAAATCTTACTTACTTTTACAACAAATCCAAGTATTTCCCATACACTTAAAATTATGGATAATAAAAACAGAGAGATAGCAAGGGTCTACCCCATCTGACCCACAGGGACACAGCCCAAAAACAAAGACAAACAAATTAATATTTTAATACCAGAATGATTCTAAATTCAAAAACTTTGGAGGAAGTCATATATTTATCTACAGATGCATTTTTCATCGCCACTTGCACAACAGCGCGGAAATCCTCCCAATTGTTCATGGGAATGAGCCATCTATATTCAGAAGTGCTGCTATCCGAACAAGTTAAGCAGGAGTCGACCTCATCTAAATGTTGTGGTGCGTGAAGAAGAGACAGAAGGAGGAGGCACCAGCGGCTCTCACTCCTGGGAGCGCAGGGCTGGCAGCTGCTTTAGGCTTCCATCTATCTGACAATTAGAATCAAATACACCAAACAGAGCAAAGGCACGCATTTCCGAGTCAATAGCTTTTATCAGATATGGAGTGGGCTGTATTTACTTTGCTCTTGAAACACATCAGGAATGAAGGGACCATTCAGTGGCATTGAAGTGGGTTAATTGCAAAAAACAGGCTGGTTTTCAACATGCAAAACACAAATCACAAATCAACAAATCAATTTTCTCAGGCTAGTAGATGAGTGCTTGTCTATTTAATTTACTTATTTGCTTTTCTGCATGGAGATGTTATCATTTTGCCTTGAATGTTCCACAGTATGCCATTAGAGTTTCCTATCTCCATGGAGACAAATAGGTGATAATACTTGGGCAAGCTACAGGTCATATCTGTGGAGAGGTGGGCCCGCTCACACTAAGAATTCATGTTTTTCAAGGTACTTTTTTGCAATATGGTTAAATAGATACATAGATATTTTTAATGTCATATTCTTATAGGCCGGGAGCCAGGTCCACTCCTCAGATGTTTTTTGCTACCTTTTTTTACTATTATTTCCTGTTATCTTTTATCTTGGGCCATCACAAGTTGAGAGGGACAAACCCCAACTCGGCCCTGTTTGATCTCAGGCCCCAAAAAACACTTTTTAGGAAAAGCTATTTGCAAAATGATGTAACTGTAAATATTAAGGTACTGCAACTGCATAAATGGCCAAATAATCCTAAAATTTTGCATGGTGTATCCTGACACATGGGGGAAACTAGCAGAAAAATATAAAATATAAAAATGTAAGTAGAACTTTCAGGCATTACCATTTCATACAGGATTAAGTATGATGAGAGTTGACTTATGTACTGCTGTACAATATGAAGTGAATTATATTAAAAGTGAATAATATTAAAACTCCAGGTGGACAGGGGTCAGGGTCAGATAAAAATATGGTAACCAGGTGACACACAAACACACACAACCAACCAACATCTTAACCCTTCATGCAATATTAGCAAATATATATATATTAGCAAAGCACTACCTTCACAGAGACAAGCTGGTGGTGTACTCTTCACCAGAAAAAGTTACATAGTGCACCTTTATTTTATCTAGCTGTGATAACTCAAGAAACACATAGACAATGGAAGTACAAAAGCATTAATCTCCCACAGCTCAAGGTCTGAACTGTCTGGTTAGAGGGAAAAAAACTTGATACTGTGCAACACTTTTATAAATTCACAAGGCAATAAAAGAAGAATTGCTCATATGCTGATATTATCATCACCCGTACTGCTAGTATGTTCATTTGTGAAACAACAGTATCATAAATAACACATTTAGACTAACGATGGGACTTAATGGGATCTAAATCTTTTGGATCCATTCCCTTCAATGAGCCGCTCAAAAAACTGGCTTTTTTAATATTTATTTATACGACAGAAACCAATGTGAGAACTCATTTAATCTACAAACTAATCACAGAGAGAAATGAATAAGGCAGATGTGTTTAAAATGGTTCAAACTGGGAGTGGGAGTGTGTTTACCCATTGAAATTATGCATAATCTGCACTACACTACAATACAATAAATAAAATAACTGTTATAATGACGCTAAATGTTTTTTTAATGCTCAGAGTTGTCATTTGTGTTGTTTCTCGACTGTGTTTGGTACAGTGCTCGTTCAAGGGTTAATCAGTGCAAGAATTCATTAAAATCTGAAAAAAATAAATAAATTTAAAAAAATGGTGTGTAACTTTTTGGTTGGGGGTCCGTCACCTTTTTGTTTCTATAGATATGTCATTGCTCTGACTGGAATGTTCCACAGTATGACATTAAAAAGATCTACCTTACATTTATTCAGTTACAGGTGGTTTTATTGCTCAAAAATTCTCTCCACAAAAAAAGCATTTGACAAGACTCTCCACCAGAAAATTACACAATGCACCTTTGAGTAACGTCACATCTCTATTTTTGACATAATCAAATGCATAACTCAAACCTGTGAATGTCAGGAGATTTTTTTTCCCCTCAACATACAGTACATGGAATCAAAAATACTGCCCTTCTGCTTCTGCCCACAAACATCCGAGCTCTAGTGGATGACAGGCAGCGGCTTAGTGTCTGACGCTGAATGATCCTGATGTGTGTGTGAATCAGCCCTGTCCACCATATGTCTGTTCATGTCCAGCACTGTCCATCACTGAGCCACACCACACACAGATGGCGTCTGTCATCAGAGCTCTGAGGCAGGGAATCTCCTCTCACTACTGCACTTTATCTGTCTGTTATGTCATCTTGTGATAATGCTGACTTTCAAAAGGTACATGAAGCAAATACTAGGGATGTAACAATAGCTGGAATATCACAATATCACAATATTCATTCACTAGTGTCTTTGCTTGAATTTGTAGTTATTGTGCAACATCAGCTAAACAGAGGGAATTATAGATAAAATGATTTTTGCTGTTTCAGTGCAAAGGAATGTGAGGTTGTATCGTTAACAGTGACATCATTTTGGAATGTGATGGTCATTTCAGAATGTGACGTCATATCGTTTCTCTGGACTTAGGCACCTCGTGAGTGAATCCGCACTTTCCATCACTGAGCCACACCACACACAGATGGCTTCTGTCATCAGAGCTCTGAGGCAGGGAATCTCTTTTCACCACCAGTTCATCTGTGTTATGCCATTTTGCGGTAATGTTGACTTTCAAAAGGTACATGAAGCAAATACAAGGGATTTAACAATAACTGAAACATCACAATGTTGCAATATATTAAATTACAAGTCTCTGCTTTAATTCATTGTCAGCTAAAAACAGAGGGAACTACAGATACAATGATCTATTCCAGTGCAAAGTAATGTCATATCTGACTGTGATGTCATGTCTTATCAAGACATTCTAAAAAGAGAAAGTGGCATATTCATTTTTTTTTTTTTGCTAGATGCATATGGTGAAAATGTCGTACAGAGAGATTTGGATATCGTTTTCCTAGCAAATATTTGGAAAAAAATGTATTACATTTCTATCTTATGCTGCAAATAAGTATCTTTTTACCATAATAACTTTGTTTGGAAACATGCCATACAACTCAATTATCTCAGTAAACAGAAAAAGGAAAATTTGGCAAAAGTCAAAAACAAGGGAAAAGTCTAGTGTTAGTCTCCAAAGCAGAACTTTACAAAGATCAGCTTTGATTATTGGTTTAGCTATGAACTGGTTTTCTCCTAACCTTGGTGAGGCTGACAGCTTGTGAAACATAAACATCCCCAAACTAGATACCTGCTAACAAAAGTAGGCCACGGTCTTCACAAGTGCACTGTTTTGTTCCCGCCGGCGCAGGAGAACTCGAAATACACTGGACACATTTTCAGAGCAATTTTAGCACAATATCTCAGATTGTTATAGCACACAAGGCACCCATTCTGGATGGCATGTTTGTGAAGAAAGGCTTTTAACAGAAGAGGCTGGAAAAGTCCTAACCCACAGTTACAGACTTCATCTTTAAGTTAGCCACATCTCAATCATGTATGACACATCAAACAGAGAGTTTGTGTCACTGGGCGAGTAGCTGATGCCACTGGCCATTAGGGTCAGAACAGCAGAAAAGAGCTGGAGTACTGATGCTGTTGCTGAGCAACAGCAGGAAGCCTCTTCTGCCAAAAGCCCATCACCTGCTCTGGTGTCAGCCTGTGCAGCTCTACAAACAACTGAGAGATGTGAGGAGTCTGAGCTCTGCACAAGCACCACCGACCAACCACAGGGTCAAACAGCAACGGGCCAAGGACTATTCTGGGATGGATTTCACCTCATTTTGAGTTTCTGCCTTCACAAACTTAATGTGCATACAGGTCAGAGTACTAATTTCAGACACAAGTAATTAGCATCTTGTTTCTGAAATGAGCAGTCATTTATTTTTAAGATAGAAGAATCCTGCCTTTTTTTCTTTTTTTAAGTTTACCAATTTTGATTGAGCTAATAATTGTATTTCCCAGTAGGACATAGATAGATATGACATACGCAGAGGTAATTCCATAACATTCTGTATTTTTAATTTCTTTTTTTCCCCTCACAAACTTTATTATTTACCACAACTACTATGCCACCAAATCAAGCAATAATGAGAAAAACATGAAAACATGTGATGGGCACATATATTTGCTCTATAGCTGTTTTTGACCGGATCTCAGAAGTCAAATTCTCCTCCATTTAAGAGCATAATAGTCCTAGAGCCAGCTTGAGGCCAGTTTGTACTTGTGCGATAATGCCAGGGCTCTGTCAGTGCAAATATTGGTCTTTTTTTTTGACAAATAGAAAAGTGTTGGCAGTAGAGTGGTGCACAGTGAAGAGAGTTCTGACCTCCAAGACAGGTGCCTCTTGTTCCACTTGTTCTGAGGGCCCGGGCTGCGTTTGGAGCGACCCCCGGTCCCCTCTGCCTCGGACACATCAGGCAGAGAACATCTGGGAGTCTTCATCAACCCCAGAGTGGCTTGGTCTACAAGACAGGAGGAAAAGGAGAAATTTTAATCACAATGTACAGGAACTCTATCAATAAAAAAAAGGAACAAAAGCACCTACAAAATTTATTTTTATCCAGTTTAAGCACAAACAGTATACTTCAGGGTCCTACGTTATGCAAATTTTTTTCTTATGAGCTTTAAGCCATGTTGTTAACTCCTTAGAAACATACAAATTGCTCTATTGTGTCCATACACTTACCTCAAATCATTCAGATAATATCATATATATAGGGCACTCTGGATTATAAGACGCACTGTCATTGAATGGTCTATTTTTGAACTTTTTTCCCAAATAAACCGCACCGGATTACAAGGTGCATTAAACGAAACACAACAGTTCAATGGGTCAGTCGGACTTTGTTTGGTGCATTCACGGTGACCCTTGGCTTTGTTCAGTTGTGGTGTGTAGGGAGGGTGTTGTCTGGGACCGCTGGATTGTCGGCGTGTTCGCAGTGACTCTGTTGTTCAGTTGTCACTAGAAGTGGCACATTGCACTCGCTTTTTCGGTTCGTTCCTCCGTTCTGTTCCTCATCCGCGTGGAGTGATGAGTGTGGCTGCGGGTGTTTTTCCCTGTGCGGTTGCTGTCTGGCTGTCTGCTCCGTGTGTGTTTGCGTGCGCTGCGGGTGGTGCGGCTTTGTAGTTTACTGAAGTCGTGCTGGGACACCCGAGTGGATTCGTGTATAGGGCTCTCTGGATTGTGGGGTGTGCAGTTGTTTTTTGATGGGGTTGGAGGCTTAAAAGCGCGCCCTATGGTGCAAAAAATACGATAAAAGTAAAAGGTAGATGTAACTAAAAAAAAATTGCTTTAAGACATTGCAAGTTAGAACAGATCAGTTAATACAATGTTAATACAAGATTACATGTTACAAAACATGTGAATGAAACAAAACACAACTCCGTGTATGTTTTTGACATTTTAACATGGCTTAAAGCTCACAAGAGTCAATTTTGCATAACATAGGACCCTTAAGCTTTCCACCGTGTCAGACCTACAAATGAATCAGGTCATAAAAGTAGAATGTACTGTATCCATCTATCCATCTATCTATCTATATGTCTCCCTATCTACCTATCTACGTACCTACCTATATGTTGATTATGAGAAAAAAATCCATATGACCTTGACTCACGCATGCATCTTACTGTATCTACACGAGACGGTCTTTAGACTCTTAACCCACTGAAAGACCTTGATGAAATATAGGTTTGAATATAATGTAATAGCACGGACAGCCGTAAACAGTGCGCCTCAGGGCACGGACATATGAACGTACAGCAGAGGTCAACAGCAGATCTGATTTACACGTATAGAGCCCTATATCCATATGCATGTGCATGGAGGAGAGCCCCTTTAAATAATAAATCATACTCCATTTCACACATGAGTCTCTCCAGCCCTGGCCAACGCCTCACAATCCATAAATTACAATGACTTACACACCTCCCTGTGTCATAGCACTGCCTACACATTATGACATTACTAGGATATTACACGTTCACTCGCACACTGATTGGTTCCTTCAAATCTTAACTGAAGCTCATTGAGAATTTGAGAGTTATGCAGGCTATAAAGGGAGCATATTTTGTTATTTTCTGATCTGTTATAATGTTGTTTCTTTATCATAAACATACCTGGAGTTGAGTTTTGTTTCATTCACACAAATCCTGCATATTTACTTCCTCTGCATATATTTTCTCAAACAGATAACACTCTGCTCCACTCTGTGACGCCATGTGGTGATACATTGTGCTGCTTACTGAAGGCACTAATCTGTCTGAAGCTTTATTAGACTTAACTTGATCTTTGGTTGAACACAACCTGACCAGAAAGACCTGAGTTATTTGGAACTACTAAAAGCGAGCTGATTTGTGCAGTTAAATAGGTCTCTCTCACAAAAAAATTACGATCACAAGCTTTTCAGTTAGTCACTCTCACTTTTTGTTGAAAATTACCTAAAAATGTGAATTGCCTGAAAATGCTGATGTTTAAATCCATTTTGAATTTTTTCTTGAGTTTTCAGACAATCTTAAAACCTTTTGGCAGTGTTCGCTAATGTGTGCAATGTGTCTGAACATTCCACCATAGAGATACACGTAGAACACTGCCAGCGTCATGTCACTGCAAAGTATCAATTTAATAAGGCTTTTATTGTCAGTGGCAAGGACACTGACAGTAATACAAACTAAACTATATTACACGAATAATTTTTAGAGATAGAGCTGTCAATAATGTAAATAACCTGAGAATCAATAGGAAAGCGGTTACTCTGTTTCGCTCTACTTCAAATATAATGCACCATATACCACCGTGAACAGACAAGCCAGATAAGTAATTTTTCAATGTTCTCTTATAATTGTTTTTCTTTGTACATTATGAGATGAATTGAAGGCTTAATTATAGACAAATGGAAGGTAAATATATACACGCCACTTTAAGATGATTAAATGTGTGCAAAGGTAGAATAAAACCCCCCAAAAAATAATGAGGCTGTGATGTCAAATGTCCAGGAAATTGAAAGCGTTTATCAGCCTAAACCTTGACTGCACAGTGCTGAGAGAATGTCATCAATAATAATGAAGAAGTATTAATATGGAAAGGAAACATGCTCACACGTGTGACCTTTGAGATGGATTAATGAGCACCAGGGGAAAGGTGAGAACGCATTGATAAGTTTCAGGTGACGTCAACAGCATTCTCTGGGGGTGTGAAGCTAACCGGAGGCACTACTCTGTCTGAAGCTATTACTCAAATTAGACTTTAATCGGAGCTTTGTTTTAACACAATCTGACTGTACTTATTTGGAACATACAGAATGCAGAATATTCTCTTAAACAAGTCTCACAAGGTAATTAAAACTGGGCAACTGTTTTCCATTTCGTACTGTCATCTTTTTTGTTCAGAATCAAACATCATCTAAAGCGGACCACACTCGTATCAGTCCCATTCTCCAAAATCAATGCTTGAATCCTTTTTGTACTTTGTCTTAAGTTTTCAGACCATCTAAAAAGGTCTCAGTTTGCTAATGAGAGCATTGTGTCATTGTGTCACATTCAGTGCCCACCCAGCATGACATCACTGCAAAGTATTAATTCACATTTGAGAATTTCATATAATCTCAGATGGTGGGCAAGGGCCTACATAACTATGGCAGAGTCGCTGTTTTTGAAACTAATATCCAAAATAGAAATCTACAAATGTTGGCCTTTATCATTTTTTATGGATTGGGTCCACAACATAATCACACTTTCTGAAGCTATTGTGTTTTTTTTGTTTATGCTACTGGTCTCCGACCTTTTTCCTCCAGTGAGATTCCTTTTCAAACGAAAATGCCAGAGAGCTTCTAATTTTAGCAGTCACTTGAAATTGAGTAAATATAAAAGTCACAGCAAGCCTTAGATGGGGTACAGTTAGATGCCTATAAAACATAAACCATTATCCAGATATTAGTGCACAAAGTTACACATTTACAATGGTAATGAAATTTGAGTTATTCAGCACAATACATATAATTCATAAATCCCTTGGCGAGCTACTTGGAAAGGGGTGGAGAGCTACTGGTAGCTCCCGAACTACAGGTTGGAGATGCTTGATTTATACTGACAGAGTTTTGTTTTATGTGGATAAGGCCAGTAATTAGAGACATTCATCATAAACCAGGTCAACAAATCTGCAATCTGACAGTTAGACTGCAAATTCTACCATAGAATTCTGACCTGTCCTCCAGCTCAGTTTTAAACGATATAGATTCTATAATGTGAACCCGTCCTATTGTTTATTTCTCCATCAATACTGAGCACTTTCCCACACTGAAACAGAACCCAGGCCAAGGTGAGCTATAAAGACCCAAGTGTTATTTAGCGCAGTGTTAACTACGCAGGCTCTTTTTACATCACAAGACTTTAAACCACCTTTCAACAAACCACTAGTCCACATACCTAACACTCCGGTCTCTTTGAGTCCGCCGAACTTCTGCATGGCTTTGATGGCCTTGGTGAGCGCCTCCTTGGTCTGGAGCTGTCCAGTCACAGGGTCAGGGGGCGGGAGGTAACCAAACTTACTCAGCCAGTCCTGGAGCAGAGAAAGAGGAGACACACATGGCAGTGGTCAGGAAAAGTATTTCAGTGACTCCAACAATTCTAAAGACGCTAAGAAGGGCTGACACCTGTTCACGTTGACAGTTAGTAAAAGGCATAGGATTAAGAATGGCACTTTCTTTGACTTACTGTATTTTAAAGCACCCTACTGACAATTTAAATGACAGCTACATTTCAAGATGACATATATAGTTAAAGATTTGACATTCAAATTCGAGGGGACAGGTTATACATTTTTAAAAAGCGGTAGGTAATGCAGCGCGGAAATGTTGGATTTAAACAAGATCATGGTGAAATGGGCTCTGATATTTGCATAAACGTGCTTTATAATTTTGAAACTTAAAGGTTAGAACATTTGTTAAAAGAAGATATGAAGACATGAAGATATATAGGCCTAAGGTTTATACCACACTGTAAAAGGATTCTAGCCAAAGGAACACCATTTCTGTGGAGACAAGGTTGAAGAGGTCCTCCTCCAGGTCACATCAGGTTTGTGGAGACGCAAGCAGACTCTATGTAAGTTTTTCGATGCAATAAACACAACCAAAATGTTTTAATTTGCGTGTATTTTTTTTTTTTCTTTCTTTTGTTTAGTTACATAATGTAGATTTAAAAGTGTACTGTGTAACTTTTCTGGACCTTCAAGTCTTCATGGAGATGTTCTGACAGTACGACATTAAACACATTTTTTCTAGCATTCATCTAAATACAGGTATTTTTATTGCTCAAAATAACTTCTCCATGTAGATATGCAGGTGGCGCCACTAGGCCAAGTTACTGGTCAGATCTGTGGAGAAATGACCCTGCTCACAGTCAGAATGAAGGTTTTTCGAGGTGCTTTTAACAGTAAAAACAAGATTTAAGAGTCGAGACACAGAAGGTGAAGGAGTAGAAGTTAATTTGTAAATGTGAATATGGTAAATAAAGAGGGCTCGTGATACGGCCACGGGAATAGCTGATGTTGCAATAACTACAAACCTATTAAATAGGTCTAATTCAGAGTAGGCATGTCATCTTTATTAACTAACCAGGAAAAATTAGCTGTTCAACACTCTGCTCCATTCCAGATGCAGTGCCGCAAATCTGATGCCCTCCTATTGTGTAAACTCTGGTAATATGTGCCGCTAATAGCCGCAATAAATCAAAATGTCACAGCACAATATTTACATGACACATTCACTGTACACTGATTAAGTGGTACAATTAGTCGCACACAAATATACTGCATTTTACATTCAACTACAGTATATTCTGACGCATGAGGGCATGAGCATTTCTATATTATTTTTTTTTTCACATTAGAGTGTCTAAAGCCAACTCTATCAAATAAGGACAGTGGCATTTCTAGGCACAGGCAGACTGCCCATCAGCCACTGGGAACCTATCACTAAACTTAAATGTGTAAATAAGTAAATGTGAGATGCATTCAGTGAGATAATAAGATAATTTTTATTTTCGTGACAAGTGGTTCAATACTTCTAAAATAAACACATATCGTATTTTTCGGACTATAAGTCGCTCCGGAGTATAAATCACACAAGTTAAAAAATGCGCAATGAAGAAGAAAAAAAACATATATAAGTCGCACTTATGGTGGGAAATTTATTTTATAAAAACAGAGACCAGCAACCGACATTTCATCTTTAAAGACAAGTTATAGTAATAACCACAGAAGAGCGAACAACAGGCTATTAACGTAACATATGAACAGTTATTCAGATAACTCCAAACTTTCTTTCTGCTGCTTGATTACCGTTTGAATATTTCACTACTTGCAGCAGGACAGCGGCTTTTTCTGTAGGAGACATGCACAGCAGAGCAAAGTGACAGTGGTACAGTAGTAGCAGATACTGACACACAAGCCTAGAGTGCCCTCTCGTGGCTGTCAGTGTGAAAATTTTGATATACAAGTCGCACTGGAGTAGTTGCAGGACCACTCAAACCATGAAAGAAACACGATTTATAGTCCGAAAAATACAGTATATAATACAAATGTAAATAATAGTTTTGTCTGCTTATACACAGAACATAGTTAGATTAACAGTTTCTTCTAGTTTTTGGTAAGGTGCATTGAATAACTTTTTTGGTGGAAGGTCCATCAAATGCTTTTCTTTATGGAGATGTTATTGCTTTGTCTGGAATTTTTCACAGTATGGCATTAAACAATTCTATCTTCATGGGGCACAAATCGGAACAGGTTACAGGTTAAATCTGTGGAGAGGCAACCCTGCTCACAGTCACATTTTCTAGATGTTTTTGAGCTATAAAACCACCTGTAATTGAATAAATGTAAAGTAGAGCTGTTTAATGTCATATTGTGGCACATACCAGGGAGTTATATAATGCACTTTTTAAATGCAATTTTATGGTATTATATTTCCTTGAATAAGAATATAATGTGGCAGTGTCATAAACCACTAACTTAGGGCCACCATATCTTGTACAGGTACCCCACAAAGCTAGACATGGCTCTGGTATTGTGCATTCTTTGACTATATCCAATATGTATTAATATGCAGGAATCCAAAAACTGAGCATGCTCCAAATTCAGATATTTACCTTCTGCTAATTTGCTAATTATACTTTCTTATCACATTCCTAATAGCATTGCTAATAACATTAAGCTTCTAGACATTTCATTCATAGATATGAGATGAACACAATACTATCCAATGGTCTGATTAATTTCCATTTCTCGTTAATTATCAGTGCCCTCAATTAAAACTGAATCCGTTTTGTTCTTCTGCCCTTCATTCTTACCCAGTGATGTGCTACCATCTCTTCTCGGCCTATTCATCCCGAAAATGTCCTAAAAATGTTGGATTTTAATGAGTTTCTGATCTGCATGCACCAGAAAAGGCTAGTGGGAATCGATGTTCAGACACTTACTTCCCACTGACAATGCAAGTATATTTCCATAAACCAAACGAGAAACATTGATCTACAACAGACGCTTTTGATGGACAAGCTTCACGGGATTATTGAGCAAACAGAATGCTGGGAGATATTACACAGAAGATAGGCTGGGGACTTGAACAAGAGCACTCTTATCAAAAGAATAATAAGGAGCATAGTAAAAGAAAGAGGATCAAGGTCGGAATGTACCCAGAACAAGACATGCTTAACCAAGGTCAAAGCACAATGCACTCAATCTCAATGGAGACAGCGACAGCATACAAGAATCTGCTTTAAGAATGGCTCTTATTGTTGTGTTGTTGTTGCATCTAGAAATACTTAGCATGTAGTATAATTTCCGGTCTACTGAGCACACCTGAATATAAGCCAAATCAAAAAAAGTACATTTAAACTAAATTTTAAAACTGTACATATATATAGGCTGCACCTGAATATAAGCCGCAGGTGTCCACGTCTTCAAAAATGTTTTCAAGTTTGGACCATCTGTTTTGCTTTTTTTTTAGCACTGAAGCTTTTGTCGTCTTTTTGCTTTGAGTCAGTTCGTCACGCTGCCGTCGCCAATGTCTCACCATTGACTCACTGATGCCGAGCTCACGTGAAGAAGCTCTGTTTCCTTCTTCCACAGCCACATCAATTGCCTTTAACTTAAAAGCTGCATCATCTTCGTATGTTTTCCATGAGGAGGGTGTGTGCATGAAGCGCAAAATAACAGTTCAAAACACAATCAAACGAGCATCTTCCTCGGTGCATCACCCCCGTCTCTCCCCGTGCTCTACTGCGCATGACTCCTGCAGGAAGATCCTCTGTCCTGTCTGTATCAAGCCAGTGTCTTGGAGGATTTCAGCAGATTTCAGGCTCTCTCATGAGTGGATATCCCGCTACTGAAGTTTGAGATGTTTCTTCTTGTCATTTATGCACCCACCTGCATATCCCACTCACTAATGTTCATATAACGTTATAACTTATTTTATCACGCGGCGATAAACTGTTTGAGTGCTGATAACATTGCTAGTTAACTAGATCCATGTGTGACCTGCACAGACAGAAGCATTTTCTGAACTCAGGCTGCGTGCATCCACTGTGCTGCCAAACCATAGACCATATATATGTATGGATTATGTGCCAAACAAATAGTCCGTCCATATATTAGCTTTTGTATTGTATAAGATGCAGGTTTCAAAGTGTGAGAAAGCAGAAGCTTATAGTCCGGAAATGACGGTATCTGCTCCTGAAATACGACTGAAAATAGATCTGGTGTCATGTATCAATAGACAGGAAACAGCTGTTGCTAACATGTGCTAACTTGTTAGCACCACACAACAAGCTCAAGTTGCTGTCACTGGAAATATGCCCATCCATCCATTTTCTTCCGCTTATCTGGAATTATATTCATATCCTGTGTCCGTCATTGCCAAAACAAAACAAAACAAACAAACAAACAAACGAAAAAACAGTGCCCAACCAATATGGACTATCAGGTATAACTCGGGTGTTCCATTGTGGAGGTAAACAGTATGAAGTCTCCTCCTACTCCTCAAAAACATACCTGGAGTTGTTTCATTCACACATGTTTGAGTAATCCTTTTTTTTTTTTTTATTAGCCTGTCTACATAACCTAGGGTCCCTCGTTTATCACGGGGGTTCTGTTCTAAAAATAACCTGCGATAGGTGAAATCCATGAAGTAGTCAACTTTATATTTTACCATTATTCTATCTGTTTTAAGGCTGTAAAACCCCTCACCACACACTTTATACACTTTTCTCACACAGGACAGTTACAACCCTTTTTGCATCCTTCTTAAAACTTATTGCTGCTGTCATCCTTTTGTTATTTTCCTCCTTCTTTATGTAACGAACCCAAGATTCATTTATTCAGAAATAGAGCCCTACAGCGCAGAGTCCTGCACGGGTCCATTTTTGGAGACCTGCAGTACAACACCGCACCCGCCCGTTCACCCGTGATTATATCAAGCTTTTGTGCTGCCTACATCTTGGGCTGAACCAGGACTGAACCAGGACTGAACCAGGACTGAACCAGGAGTCAGTGTTGGGACAGGC